AATTGTTAGTTGGCAGCACTCTTGTAGTTCTCTAGACTTTTCTTTAGGTTCAGTTTTCTCTTCAAACCAATAATGACCCCCTCTTTTATGTTCTCTCTCTCTCTCTCTCTCTCTCTCTCCCCTCCCTCCTTCCCTCCCTTCCTTCCTCTTCCTCCTCCTCTTCCCCCAAAAAGTGGTGGGCAGGCAGCAAAGTAAGTCACAGATTTGTGACAAATTTGAGCTCTGGTAGGAAAGGTGGAATTGGAAGAAGGAGAGCCTCTGACAAAGATCCTTCATTCCACACTGTGACCCTTTACCACCTGGTTTCCACTCCTTGAATTCCCTGTGAGTAGTGTACAATTGCAGAGTATGTATCTGAGGTTGAGTCTTTCATTTTTCAAGCCAGCAGTCTCAATCTGATTATGATAAGAGAGCATCCAAGGTGAAGAAACTGGGAAGGCAGGAAGAGTCATCCTGATCATGACCCAACAGCTACAAACAAAACCAGTGTTATGTCATGACTCAATGGTGTGTGGTGGTAATGATGCCAATGGTGGGCAGTCACACAATTGGCATTCGGTGGTGCAAGTCGTCTTTGCTGTCCCCAGAGGAAAGGAAACGTAACCTCTCCTGCACAGCCACCATTATTCACTCTCTGCTGTCTTATGTCCTCATGAAGTTGAAGAAATACCCCTACAAATACCATCTTTCACTTTCTGTTCCTGGGATTCTGTGGGCTGTGAAAATGCTTCAAGAGGCTCCAATAATAATTCACAGACTTACGTGGGGGGGGGGCCACTAGTATAAGCTGTGGTCTGGGAGAGAATTAGAAGCTAGTGACTAGACTCTTATCGCCATGTTTCCTGAGTGTTACCACGGACAAGCAAGCTATACTGAGAACCCCAAAGCACCAGAATCTCATCTATAGATTTTAAAAATGCCAATTGTAGATTGGAACTATTTGGGAAAGAATTTCATTTAAACATGTATAGATTTTTTTTCTTGTCCTAACTGCTTAAACAATACAGTGCAACAATTACATAGCATGTTTATTGCATTTAGCATTATGAGTAATCTAGACATGGTTTAAGTGAATGAGAGTGTATATATATATATATATATGTATATATACATATATGTATATATATATATGTGTGTATATATATGTATATATATATATCAGTTATATGCAAATGATGTGTGATTTAAGTTAGAGACTGGAATACATCAGATTTTGGTATTCATGGGATGTGAGAAACAACTCTCTGCATACTGAGGGGAGATTCTTTGTAAACATCACATTTTGTAAGCTCTGAAAGACCCAACTACTAAGTTCCATTCCAGATATTGATCTTATGGTGCACAGTACATAGTGAAGGTCAATGTGTATATTTCCAAGGTATGCACCCATAGAGGTTAGAAGCATTAGTTGGCTTTGATGGGTGAATATTAATTACAAGTTAAAGATATGAAACATTAAGTACAAATTTGTTAAAGTATAATAACCAACAGATATAGCATTTATACAGCCAGCATGCAGAGTTTCAGTGAATTGTCATGTATATTGTTTAATACAGCACTCACAGCAGCCAACCTGTGAAGGAAGTGCTGTGGACATCCCAGACTTCCATAGGAGAAGGCTGATGACTAAGTAATTGGAAAACAATCTAAGTCCACATTCCTAGTGAGGAGGCAGGTCTACTTGCAAACCTGGCCAAGTTTAAAATGTATGAAACCTTGCTTTTAAACTTTATTATACCAGGCTGCTTCCTGCATCTGGTTTAGTCAGCTTTCTGTGACTAGAGCAAAGTGCCTGATAGGGAAGAATCATTTTGACTTATTTTTTTTCTAGAAGTCTCAGTCGATGACCTATTTGTTCCTTTGTTTGGAGGCCTCAGCAAGGCAGCATATGATGGACAGAACCCCATGGACACCAAAATTATGGTGGCGAGAAAGCAAAGAGAGCATGGGAAAGGGACCAGCATCCCAATAGCTTTCAAGAGCATGCCCACAATGGTTCAGCTCCTTCTGCTAGTCCATCCTACCTAAGGTTCAACCACTTCCTCTTCATATCACAAGCTGCCAATAAGACTTTTAAAGTTTAGGCTGTAGGGACATTCTAGATCCATACTGCAGCAATCTGTTAGATGGTATTGAGATAGAATTTGTCAATAAGCTAATGATCTAAAGATATTCCCAAGATTTATGCTAACCAGTAGTAAGTAATCAAAAGAACATCAATGTGTATCTTAAGCCAAACCTCTCTACTCGTATTCACTGAGTAGAAACTAAATGTGAATGAAAAGTCCTGACTTGAAGAGCTCACCCTCAAAGGGACCACAAGCAAAGAGGATGAAGGTGTAAGAGGATGGCATGGAAGCAAAGGAAGTGAGGTTGGGTGAATGTGATCAAACCACATTTCATTTTTAGGAAAACATCACACAACTTTTTTTTTTTTTTCATTTACTAGTTGCTGACAAAAATATGAAAGTCTTAAGGCCCAGGTCATTTGCTACAGAGCTGATATCAGAGAACTTGGGACTCTTGATCTCTAATGGTGTACTGTGTTTCCTAGGCTCCTGGTCAACTGATAATGTTTGTGTTTTCTTGTCTTTGCCATGGAAATGCCTAACCTTAAATTCTTTGCTATCATACAGCAAGTGTTGCTTCAAATCTCTAAAACCTTCAGCCAGTGCCTTTTATTCATTCTGACTGCTGGATTCCCCTTTGGCTCCAGCAAGGCCCCTATACAGGCACTGCCTTCCAAGCAAACAGATTAGTTTATGGCCCTACAAGTTTAAGCATGATACATGTGTTTGGGGAAAATGGAGATGCGTGTTAAGAAGAAACATTACTTTTTGATCCAGGTGGGAAAGCATACATAATCTCCTCTAGAGCCTGTGAAAGACTTCATTTTACACATGAAATTGTGTGGAATTGCCCCAGACTGCGTTCAACATGGATTTTAAGAATAGTCATTCTCAGAATAAGCTGCTGAGCACCAGTTAGGGCCTCAGAGCACCAAAGAATAAATATAAGCAAATGTAGTCTCTATGGAGTTGTAGAGAGCAAATATACACTAGTGTTGGCACAGTGCCTGCATGGGGCCAGTCCTTAACATTACAATGGGATGTGTTAAGAACACAGTCAAAGATAAACTCAGAACACAAACACATGGAGAAAATGTAACAGAAAGGGACCTATCTTGCTATAGAAAATATTAATATTTCAGTATATATTTAATTGTTTAAAATATTTTTTTAATTTTTTTCTGTGCATTGTAAAACTTTCTTTTCATAGTTTGTTATAAAAATCCAGGCCTGACAAACTTGAGGAAGCAACCACATTTTTCTAAGCAGTGAATTTTAAGTCATTTGCAAATTAACCTAATCTTAGTATTTGATCAAAAGCATTATTTGGGGGCTGAATGGAGACCATGAGATTATACTGCATAAGGCACTGTCTAGCTTAACATGCCCTGATTTTCAAGCATAATAAATAAACTACATATAAAAAATTCAGGGGAAAGCTCTTTTGCATATATGGGGATTGTTGATATCTTCTGATGGGTCCTCTTACCCTTGTTATTAAATGACAGTGATCATTAAAATGCCAAACATATCTTGACAGAATTCAGTTTATAAAATGTCAGCAAGTCTGTGTTTTTATTAGTTTGCTCCAAATCAATTTAGAAATTTCAATAGAATGCTTGTAAGTATTCCCCAAGCACTGTCCATTCCTGACTTTCTGCACACAAAAAAATTACAAATTAATCAGATTTTAAGATTTCTGCATAATGGCTTCGCACATTTATTGCTTAATCCTATTATAAAATGCTGTTATGATTGACACATCACTGTGGAGATAGAAGTCAATTGAATAATATGTAGCAGTCAATTTTATTTGTAGCTTAATGTGCTGAAGTATTTTTTCCACATTTCCATTATTTATAAGTCTGTCCCTTTGGAGACTATATAGAAGAATTTGTTTTAAATGAGCCAATAATACCTTCTTTAAAATTTATAAGCATCACAGAATCATATCTTTTTTCATTGGTTGGCCTCAGCATGCCAGTAAACAGAGTTTGAAATGTCTTCCACTTGCTATTCATAGGACAAACACCAGGAAAGTGGATCTTGTTAAGGCTTGCTTAGAACTGGATTTTAACCACCCCATTAGAAAACTTGAAGAAAACAAAAGCCCCCAACAAGGACTCTTCAGAAATGGCTGGCAGTTTTGTTCATTTTTTTAAATTCAAGTATTTATTGTTTCTACCATTATCTTCCCCACCTTGGTTGGCCCTGAAATGAGGCACTAGCATGCAGACAGTGCCCACAGGCTTTAGAGATTTGCTTTCAGGGTGTTTGAAATGCAACAGGATCTCAGCACTGGAACACGAGTTCAGTGCCTACACTAACAGGTCTCTGTGAATCAGACATTTCTCTTTTGCTTCACACCAGAAAACTTGCCTAAGGTGACCCATATTCCATTTAGGACACTGGAAGGAAGCACTATAAAGGACTGTGGTTTTAGGAAAGGGCATTCATAAGAGTCCATCCAAAGCCAGCATGAAGAGATAGCTTAAGGGAAGAGAACAAAGGAAGGAATCCCTACCAGGGAACAGTATGAACAGACATGGTCATGTCTGACATTGTACTTTGGCTTTGAACACTTAGCTCATCTATTATTCACCTGAGCATAATAGACACAGTTTCACACACAAACATGAACACATGTGCACTTACACATAGTGAACTAGAGTATGCTGTCCAAACTGATGTCTAATATAACTCCTTTGGTGTGTGTATGGAAGTATACCTTTTCCTGTTGCCTTTCCTTTCTATTTCCTGATGTCTTTGGCAATCCTGAGTGTACCATAACATCTTTTCCCCCATAACTGGAATTATTGAAAAACTACACTTTCATAAGCATCTATTCCTCAGTGTCCTGTTATAACACAGAAATATGCTGGTCCCAGGCTGGTCTTGATACTAAGGGAGCTTTTCTCTTTTGAATTCTAGGGGCCAGAGGAAACACAGTCTTATCAGACCCAGGAACTCCTGACCAGCACCAGGCCAGTCAGACCCACCCCCCATTTCCAGTTGGGCCACAGGTCAGTATCCCCAAACTGCTTTCCATTAGGCTGCATTTAAGATGGTTTTACCATATAAATAACCAAATAAATAATAATGAGTTAAATCCAATTAACTTTAACAGAACAAAGATGGTGATAAATTTTTGGATAGGAAGCTATATGACTACATTACTTATTAAATACTCTCAAGAAAATATGTGTTTGCAAAAGTCTATTCTTAAAAGAGAGGTTGGTTTTAATCATGTGGAAATTTTTTTTCCTTTTTAAAACCTACTGCATCTAGGCTGTTGGTTACCATGCAGTTTTTTTTTTCAAAAGTAAAACTTTAATGACTGAAGTGTGAAGAAAATTAAGTTATTTCAACCTTACTATAGCCATTTTTGAAATACAAGATGTGATTTAATATAAAAAAGTTAATGCAATTTTAATGCAAGTTCAGCTTATTGGGTTTGACAATACTGTACATCACACATAGCTCTTGCATTAATAAAGAAATACATTCATTATTTTTTAAAGTCCAATATTTGTTTTTTGCAGCCTTGCATGGGTTATATGGAGATGTAGAACACAATTATAAAAGGCTGGGATTTCTTTAACCTCTGCCATCTACTGTGAAACTTTCAGAGTTCATTTTGTTTTTAGGGAGGGAAATATCTGTGCTTTTCTCTCCCCATTGTCATTTTTACTCCTGGAAATTAGTCATTTTCAGTACAAGGAAGATTTGCCCAAGTGTAAAGCTTGAACCAGTTCGGACACTCTTATCCTTGTCACCATGAAATCTTGCAATGACCTCAGATCCCATTACCCATCTCAGAGACCACACAGCTCCAGACATGAAGACTGTACAGTGTCTATTTGGAAGACCAAAGCTCAGCTAGAACCCATAAAACATGAGGTATTGGCTTCTAAGTGTCATACCCTCATAATGCCATTCTTCTTACTTCATGTGGTTCATATGTTTATGTGCTTCTGCAGATGTGTGTGCACAGATTGCCAGAAGCACATAAGACCATATGCCAGAAGCATATTGTCTAATACCTCTAAGTCAGGTAATTAGAATGACAGACTCAAGGCAGTGAGAAGCATGGCTCTGTGACAACCAGAAGCAGGCATACCCTACCTTAAGCCCAAATCCAATCTTAAAATTCTGCATGTCAATCCTCCAAACCTGTGTACAATCTGAGAGCTACTACATGTTTCCCTTGCAGCATTGTATTGATTGGCCATAATATCTTACCAGGGACCTTACGACAAAGCTACAATTTCATTATTATTCTGATGATTTGTTCTATAGAGTAACTTCATGTTTTTAAAAGAAAGAGCAAAGTTATTAGTGTGAATTCAGTAAAGTGAACATATACATTGGGAGCCCAGTACCTCTCCAGAGCTTCCTTAGAAAGGATCTAGAGGGTATTCTAGAGGGATAGCCAGACAATGTGCCCAGTCTTGCCTCATTCTTCAAATGCAGTCTCTGAATCTATCCCTTGTAAACAAGATAGACTATGGAATAGTCTATCCAGTCTTCAACTTGACCTCTCCATGCATGAGACATAGAATTTCAGGAAGTTATGAAACTTTCTGAGTCTCGTTGGTAGGATATCTGGGATGTAGGGCCTGGTGATTACAATCTGACTTTCTATCATATCCACATTTCAATACATTTTTTATGCTCCATCAAAAAGAGTTAATCCTAGATAGTTTCATTTTGAATCCTATAGATTAAAATGTAGATTATTTTTTACTCCACAGCCCTTACAAGGGTGTAGATAAAGTCTTAGCTTAAGAACTCTAAGGTCAAATGACTTGTGTTATCATTTAGCCTGGCCAAAACTATGATTCCAGTGTATCATTCCAGTGAAAACTCTACCCCAGCATCCAGTCAAGCTTTGTGCTCTATTGCTGCCTTTTATACCGAACAGTGTCTAGTCAATCAAGAGGGGGCATAAACATGTGTTTTTATAATGACTTGTAACCACTTGTCTACTTAGAAACTATTTAGTTTATTTTCATATCAGGAACATTTTTAACTTTTCTAAATAGATACCAAAATGATCCATATTAATGACTACACAGCATTCCACCAAGCTAAGCACCATAACACAAACTGTTTCAACATTTATGTAATTTCAAGTGTAATGCATAATTCCATGCATTTATCACTTTTCCTTTTGAATTATATCTTGCAGCTATATCCTAGGAGTATATTCTGAGTCAAATGGGGATGAACATCTTTGCCATTCTTGACTTGTGTTTCAAAATCACTTCCCAAAAGGATTATGGCAGCAATCAGTCTCTCCAGCCACAGATGTGCATGGCAGCATCACTAAAGACCTTCTAGTATCCCAAAAATCTTTTACACTATTTTTCTTGATGTAATACTTAAAAAAAGTATGTTATTACTATTTTTTAACCAAAATCAGAATAAAAATCCTACCACATCAATGAATCCTTTCTGTAACACCCTAAATTTAATTAGTTGAGCACTTTAAATATATGAGAATCAGGATCAAATGAAAATTCAATTGAATTTGCAGTATGTAAAGATATGATATTTCTTTTAAAGATATTGAAGCTACACAGAGATTCTAAAAAAAAAAAAAAACTGAAAATTTTCAAAGGCATAAGTGAAACGTAATGTTAAAATATGATTTCTTCCTTACAGTCTTCTTTTCTGGGCTGGAGTATGCTTCTTCGTTCCCTGAGAAACTTCCTGATTGGCTGTAATGGAGGGACTGTGTTTTGAAAGGCCATGTGTCATTCTGCTGGAAAGTGAGCCTGGTTTCTTTTGTTTTTCAGCCTCTTCTGACAGCACAGCAGCTAGCCTCTGCTGTGGCCGGGGTGATGCCAGGAGGCCCCCCAGCCCTCAATCAGCCCATCCTCATCCCCTTCAACATGGCGGGACAGCTAGGTGGTCAGCAAGGCCTGGTCCTCACACTGCCCACAGCGAATCTCACTAACATCCAAGGCCTGGTAGCAGCAGCTGCAGCCGGAGGCATCATGACTCTGCCATTACAAAATCTACAAGGTAACCTCATGCCCAGGTGCTGTGCAGTGTTCCACTGACACTGACTGGCCAAGTTTTCTGAAATGTACAAAAAGCCCCCTGAATGGGGAATGTGCTTCTACCATAAAGGCCATAAAAGGCCTCAGCAGGGAGCAACATTTCCAGTTGTTTTTGAATCCTGAGCTTGTTTAAGCCATGTTTTTTTTTTTCAACCCTTATCTCCTTTCATGAACAGCAAAGTTTTTCAGAGCCTCTGGAAGTACCTATGAGCAATCATTGCAGGGCATACCATCATCTAAATTTGAAATCATAGTGTTGCTATTTGAGGACACTGTTATAGGATAACAAGGTATTCAATTTGGCCACATGCAAAGAAAAGTTGGATGTTCCTTATATCTGTGTTAGTGGTTTGGACACCACAAATAAAAAGTGACATTTGGGGTTATTAATTTAATGATTACTTTGCTACTAAATAGGCTTTGGATATAAGTGTTCAACACAGATTGTATTGCCTGGGCTTTTTTGTAAGAGGACCTGGTAAAAGGGAGAAGTTTTTCTCTAGAGTTTAGTACCAGCACTGGTTGATTTCCAAGTTATTCATCAGAGAAAGAATAATTATGGTAATTTTTTCTGAATAAGAATATAATGTCTGATACAAAAAAAAACCCAACTACCTTGAGATATTTAAAGCAGTTGGCATCTTCATTTATGTAAATGTAAGCATTTTGTTTGGTTTTTCAGAATGAAGGTTTGTCTGGGTAAGTCCTCAGAATAACAATTGAAAGTATTTTTAAAATGGTCAGGTGTTAGATGCTTGTATGGTTTATGGAACTGGTTAGGACATCCATTCACACACTGAAGAACAACCAAGAACTAGGACCTGTGCAATCTGCCTGCTCTGACGTTCCACCCATTGTTGCTGCTTCTTAACTTTCAGTTTAATGTTTAAAACAAAGTCTCTCTTATACCATTAAATTGTGCCAAGAACCTTGCCATTCATAAATCATGCATGCTCAGGATACACTAATGCACGAACTTTGCTTGTTTCAAATTTGAGTGCCTGGGAAGCCAGGAACTTGAGATTAAGCAAATAAAGCAGGAATACACAAGGTGAAAGCTGAAGCAACAAAGTGTAGGGCCAGGCTTCTTAATGTAGGTGAATGATGAAATCTTAATGAAGAAACAGGCATTATCAAAATGCAACCTTCCATTTGGAACATGTGTGCTTATGGGAATATTGAATATTATAAATAAACATCAGCTTGCAGAGCTCCTAGGCTGTGAATTAATTCTGCTTGGTTAAGATGGACACCAAAGTCAGAGTAAAGAAAAAAAAAGGAAGTCTTTTTAAACTTTCATTGGAGATGGGTTTTGTTGGGATTTTAGTGCCTGTTACTCTAGTGTTTCAGGATTGGTGCCGGCCTCGCATACAGCAAGGCCTTCTCCATTTTGTTTTCAATGTCAAGTTTAAGTACGAGCTTATGATTTAGAGCTTGACTTCTTGGCACTGTTGCTTTTTTGTCCAACTTGTGTTTGTGCCCTGGGTAAGGGCAGCAGAAGCATTAGCTCTCTTGATCCTTTGGTTCCCTTGGCAAATGTTCCAAACAGTATTGCCTTCAGAAGTGTATTTGTGTTCTCAGCCAAGCTTATATCACCACAGAATTGGGAACAAATATTTCTTCCTTTGCAGTCATCTTTAAAATTTCAGTGGTTTCTGGAAGGGAAGTGATAAGATCATTAATATGAAAACTCCCGTCAATAAGTCATCTGACTAGGAGGAAGTTTCCCTCATTGGTCTTAACATCAAGCCCCTCCTCCAACATCCTCTCCTTTAAGGTAAAAAACAATACCAGATAAAGAAGTTCTACTTTAAACTTTTCCGACCTTTCTATATCCTCTGACACGATTTCTCAGCATCCTCATTACCCAAAGCTATAAACCTCCTGGCTTATTGGCAACTGGAATATTTCCAAAGATATAGCATCTTCAGTGGTAAAATCAGGAAATTTCCCGGAAAACTGGAAAGATTTAATTTCCCAATGAGAAGTCCAAGGGTGATGATAAGGATGATAAGCAGAAACTCTATCTCTAGTGATCAATGCACATTACTTGAAGAGCAATGTCAGACATCACCTCACCTGGAAATCAGTCTACCAGAACTCAGACCAAGGCTGATTTTAGTACCTCTAGGTGACCTTCTATAGCACTGGTTCTCAACCTGTGGGTCATCACAACATGAGGAGCTATATTAAAGGGTGGTAGCATTAAGAGGGTTGAGAACCACTGTTCTATAGTCTGTGATGATCCTTAGGCAATACTTATGGGTGATGAAGCTTCCTGAGTTATATCACATTGGAGTAGGTAGTGTCCTGTGGGAGGGTAAACAGATGGCTAACAGGGAAAAAAATCATCTTTAGGGTCTACTTTGAGATGGAGATGACAGTCCTAGATGTCCTCAACTCGTAACTTTTCTCTAAAGTGGTAGTCTTTCCAATGAGCACATTTTAGAATGAATCTGCACATATTTATATAGTCAAAAGTTAGCATAAAGGGTAGAAAGCAGTTCTCTTTGCAGAACTCAATTTTCATACAACAAACATGGTAACTCAACCCAAGGTTTTCGCTTTTTTAGCAGGAAGGTTGTTTGTTATTTTGAGACAGGGTTTCTTTGTCTAGCCTTTGCTGCTCCAGAACTATCTCTTAGACCAGGCAGGCCTTGAACTCACAAAGATCCACCTGCCTCTGTTTCCTGAGTACTTAGATTAAAGGCGTGCCCTACCACTGCCTGGCTGGTTTTCGATCTTTTAAAATGACTAATAAGTCTGATCACCTGTAATAGACATCTGTCCCACTTTCCCAAAGCTTTGAGTAATAAGAGTAGGGGGGTAATTGCGGTTTAATAAGGATCAGGATAAATAAATAGGCCGAATAGATGTTTATTCAGGGAGAAATATCTTACAACCTAGACAGATGAACACCAGCAAGTTCCACCAGATGCTCTCCTCTCTGTCCTGCCTACAAGAGAGCTTTCCCCAGCTCCTCCTCAGACCTCCTTCCATAGGTCACTTCTGCCCCTGGCTAGACCCCCTCATGGGCGTGGTTAGTGCCACAGAAGGAGACAAAGTGAATATCCCACTACAGTGGGGCGGTTAAATGTAACACACCTAGTCCTAATCCTCTATGCCACACAGACCTGAATAATTACCTCTTTTCTCTTGTAGAGTATTATGTTTTTAATTCACAAATTAACTTAACCACCAAGAATTTTCTCTGATAATCTTCCAGCTTTTTGTCCAATCCTTCTATTTCAAAAGCTATTGATTTGCTAAGAAGACAAAAAACAAGCTTCCAGCATCCATTTCTGAGTAGCCTGGAGCTCAGGAATAAAGTTTCAAATATTTTATAATAAAGTAATTGAGCATATATTTGTTTACATCCCCTGTCAAGTGACAACATACTTCTTAGAGAAGCCCATAATGCACACATGCATTATGACGAGTGCAGGGGAGGTGATGAGAGTGGCTCTCCTAGACTCAATGGTTCACTGGACCATCTCCCCTTCAGAGTGGGATCCTAGAGAGCAGCTTGGAGGCTTGGAAGCACAGAACCTCAGACTTCAGCAGATCCCGGAACAGAATCTGCATTTTCACATTTTTCCCTAGGAAGCTCCTGCACACATTCAAATTTAAGAAATAAAAAAGACTAAGCCCCTTTTCAACTCCAGTTGACAACTCCTCAGCTCACACAGTCTTGGTCTGTTTGGGCTGCTATAACAAAAATGTGATAGGCATGGTGGTTTACAAACAGCTGGCTTTCTTTCTTGCAGTTCTGGGGCCTGGAGATCTGTGAAAGCCCCTGTTTGTTTGTGCTCCATGTTAAGGGGACATCTGTGAGAACCCGTGTTTGTGGGGCTTAATCTGTAGTTACCCAGCTTTGCAGGGCTTCAGCTGGATACACCTGACTTGCCCGGTTCATACCTAGGAGAGGGGGAGTGTGGATTGAGGAATGGTGGGTAAAGATCTGAAGGAAAAGATAGAGACACAGAATAGAGTCAGGAGAGCAATCCAGTTAATACTGAATGCCCCAAGTTTATTCTTCCACATTCTTAAATACCCCAAACAAAAAGGGAAGACTCTTTATCAAGATATAAGGAACAAACAGACTCTTTTTCCTTAATTCTCCAAACATTTAGTAACCCTCTTCAACCTAAATCTCTCATTTTCTGGCCTTGAGGGTTGAGTAGCCATACCTTAGACCAAGTCTCTTGTTATTTAGATAATACATCCACACCTAAGACCAAATATCCACAGAAGCCATGCCTTAGAAAAGTCTCATAACTTTTACCTTGGGAGAATAAGGATCGTTTTGAACTCTGTGACCTTAAGTCAAGATGAATCATAGCCATTTTTACGACCCTGACAGAAATCTAAGGTCAGTTCTGACAAGCTCGCTTTCATTCTCTCCTCCACTGATGCTTGTCTCCTGAGTCCTCACTGGCAAAAATGGCTCTTTGGGTTGTCTTTTATAAGGACATTAGTGTTCTGTTCTGACCACTTTCCAGAGGCCCTTTATTCATAGCAGTTCTTGGGGAATTAGGCTTTACTACAAATGTGGAAGGAACACAAGTATTCAAGCCTTAGTATTCCCTAACACTGGCAGAAATCTCCTGTGACAAACTCTGAGCATCCTATGTGGCTAAATAGTGCCCTCGTGAACACCCCTACTGTTGTCCCATGCCAGAGCCCCAGTGGAGGATGTCAACCCAAGGTGTAACTTACTGGAGAAATATTTGTTTCTGTTAGTCCATTTGTGTTCCAAAGACCAAGGGAACCAGTGCTCTTACCTAATGAGAGTGTGGCTGAACCATTTATCCAAGAAAACCTTCACATTACCCATAAAGAAAACCTGGATCAGCAGACAATCCATCTGGTTTTAGGACTATTGATTTTAGTTCTTCCTTTAGCAGATATTTCCTTTCAAGAAAGAGACTCCCTCCCATCTTATTGCTGACATTGTATTGCTTGTAAAGAATTATGTTGGTTGTTCCATACTCATAAGA